CCCCCCCCCCCCCCCTAAGATCATCTAGTTTTGACTCTTTAATGTTTTTAATAAAAATTGAAAAAAGGTAAAATTTTACTTAAATATCTTTAATGAAAATGAATAGAGAGTATTAAATGAGGAGGGTGAGGTGTAATAAATAAACTGGGGATAATTGTGGTATTTTAAATGTTAAAAAATGTAATGAGAAGATTTATGAAAGATAAATAAAAAGGACTAATAAAAAGATCTATATTGGATAGAGAAATATTACTTTCATGCCTATCATACAAAATTGGATCCTAATTTCATGGGTTGACTTATAATGATTGATTTGTTTTTGAAATTTTGGGGAGTATTGGATTCATCTATTTTAAATGGCCGCATGATCTATCCGATCCCATGCATAATATACTTATTTGAATCATTCTCATAGAAATCGAATCTTATATTAAACATATATAATCTTTCTATCTTAATGTATTCGTCTACTTTTACTTTTTTGAGTTGAACTAGATAAATTTTAATCATCATCACACTTAATTTGTATTGCATATTAATAAAATAAAATTTTAAAAATTTTCAACATAATAAATCTAACGGAGTACTCCACTACCTTTATATGAGTACACTTACCATTACTATTTAATTGAGATACAAATTTTTCTAGCTTAATTCAAAAAAGTCAAAATAGAGAAATGCACTGTGGCGGACATAGCATAATTTAATGAGAATGATGCTCCATGAAAGAAATGAGAGTGCATATTGTCATTTGGATTTAAGATCTAAGAGTTGCAAATAAGTGAAAATCAAGGGGGAAAAATAAAAATTACAATGACATACTTTTAAATAAGTGAGTGTTTCTCTGTGTTTATAAGATAGGTGTTTCTCTGTACTTATAAGCAAGAAAAAATAATTAGATGTTACTTATTTTTAAGTCAGTTTTTTTTTATTTCTCTGTTTTGACAAGATTATTTATAAAACTAAGTCTCGTTTATTATGAATATCTCCAAATGACTTACATATCATTTTAAGTTACTTTATATACACGAAAGAGTTTTCAACTTATAAGGAATTTAAAAGTTAAAAACTGCTTAAAAATGGAACTTTTATGCCATTGAAAAATGCACTACATTATTCAAAAAATGCATTTTAAAGGGAAAAAATCATTCTCATTTCTTACAGTAAAGGTTATTCTCACTAGAATAAAATGTTGGTAATTTTAGTGTCATCGATTATTTTGTATAGGTGGACTTACTTAGATCAGACAAGAATTTGAATAAATGTTGTCGAACGAGTTAGGAGGTGCGGAGTGCACACTCGCTCAATAATATTACGAATTCATGGTAGGAGTCCAGGGGCGGTAGGGTCAAAAATCCTTTTGATTTTGGACATTATTACTTTATGAAATCCTTTAGACTTTCATGAACGGAGTCCAAAAATTGGAAAATCTTAGACTTGTGATAAACATCAAATTTGAACAAAATCATGCGAACAATTGCGCCCAACACATTAGACTTATGCGAATGTTTGCATTTGTCCCTGCCACAAACTTTCGCAAACGATCATGTCTGATCGATAAATCTTCGTCCCTATAAATAGTGATGCTCGGGTTTCGATGAGTATAGAATTCGAAGTTTGGTTATTTATGCAATGTCATGTTTAAGTTAAGTTTGAATGTTCCTTTTGGCATGACTGATGTTTGTATGGCTACATGTGATGTCTTGAACAAATCAGTTTTATGGCATGCTCATTTAGGTCATGTGCATTATAAAATACTACAAAATATGTCCAAATGCAACTGAGTTCTTGCCTTTGATATAAATCAAAAGGATCTAAGACAGGTTTGCTAACCAAGATTACTAGAAAACCTTTTAAGGAAATCAAAAGGGATTCTAAAATTCTTGAACTAGTACACAGTGAGTTATGCGATTATCATGCAACTCCATTTATAGAAAACAAGAAATATATGATGGCATTTATAAATGATTCCTCAAGGTTTTTCTATGTATATCTTTTGCATGCTAAGGATCAAGCATTAGAAACATTTCAAAAATATACAAAACTGAGGTAGAATTGCATAAAAATTACTTGGTTAAGACTCTTCACGCTGATAGGTGAGGTGAATATTTTGATCTGATTTATATTTAATCTTTGGCATAATTCGATCATGAAACCACCGCTCCCTATGCACCACAACAAAATGATGTAGCCGAGCGAAGGATTTTGGGAAGAGGCAATGTTAAATTTAAAAGAAATGGTAAATTTTATGTTATCTTACTTGGGATTGAGTGAATGAAGGGTTTTTGAGAGATGCAATGTTAATGGCCTGTTATTTATAAATAGGGTTCCTAATAAAAGGAAAAAACTTACCCCTTATGAACTTTGGTATGGCAAGCTACCTAATTTAAATTATTTGTGATGGGTGTTCGGGCCGGAGACCCGATAGTAATGGCCCAATTGAAGTTGGGCTGACCCAATAGCTATCAAAATCTGATTGTAAACTTGGAGGCAAGGCCCGAGAGAGGGATGTGAAGACATCTGATCCAATACACAAATAACTGTAATTCCCCGAATTTTGGGATTGATGAGAATTGATAACTGATTCCCCACCATGATTGACACGCGATTGGCATAATTGCTGATAATGTAGCGCATGACACCATATACCTTGTACATGGTATATTTAGGCTATAAATAGGAGGTTTATCCTCCATTGTAAGGCTGGACGAAAGTGGCCAATGTAAAGAAATACAAGATCAACTACTATTGTCACAGTCTATTTGTTCTTCGTACGCTATAGTTGTTGGGCTAAATCCAATCATTGGTGCTTTATTGAGAGATTACTGTGAGATAAGATTGTGAGAGCATGGCCAGACAAAGAACGAGGAACTATAGGCGCAATGCTTAAAACTTCAGTAGTCCTCTGCTGCGACGAGGGTCCCTGAGCAACACAACGTTGCTCAGTCCAACGGGATTGAGACGGCCCTGAATAACATCGCCAACATGATGGTGAATGGTATGAAAAGGCTAGAGCAGGTCCTGCCCGGATCCTCAGGGTTTCCTAGAAACCAGACGGAGCAGCCGAGGTAGGTTCCCCAGATGGCAAGAGGAGTGATCAATCCAATCCTCCAAGAGCTACATACTCCTGTAGAGATGGAGAGGGAAAGAGAAGCACTCCGGAAGCCCCTTGAGGCAGAAATGACCTAGAATAACCGAGAGTGTTAGGGATAGCCCCGCACGGTAGGCCGAGCACCGGCAGGACTCCGGGCTACCAGCCATCCGCACAATGCGGAGACTGGAAATATGAGAGGCTTGGTGTTTGAGGGGATGTCTCGAGAGCGGGTCCGTGTAAGTGAAAGGTTGGGAAAGAACCCTGGGAAAGCTCTTATAGGCGAGAAGCGATCACAGCCCAACCAAGTGCAATATTCACACCGTGAGCAGCGCTGGAGTGGTATAAGGGGCACGCCAGGTACATCTAGAAGATGAGGCACAAAGCCAATTAAGGGTCCCGGTGGCCCAACGCTTGGGCCAGGTTGGATGGCCGAACATAATTCTTAGGGCTGTAAACGGATAACCGAAAATTCGATTACCGTCCGCATCCGTATCCGTTTATATGGAAAATATCTGCATCCGTTAAAAGCGGTTATTATCCGTATCCGATTGCTAAACGGATACAGATTTGGTAATCATACATCCGATCCGTTTATAATCCGCTCCGCATTGACATCCGTTTAAATAACTGTTTATCCGTATATCCGATCCGTTATATATAGTCTTTCCTAATTTTTTATTTTTATATTTTGTTTCTCTATAGATATCTCAAAGTATAAGACATTTTTATATACAAAATATATGTGTAAACACATAAAAGTATGTGTATATATGTATTGTGTATATCATTTTATGATATGAAGTTATCGTAGAATATCATAAACTATAAAAAATAAGAAAATTAATATCCCATAAAAATTATAGTTGATTTAATAATATTTTAATTTAGTTTAATTGAAAATTCAAGTATTGTTTAATTTAGTTTTAAAAATTGGAAACGGATACGGATATATCCGATATCCGACCGATATCCGACGGATGCGGATACGGTTTTGATTTTTCAATATCCGTCTAGATCCGTATCTGAATTCGATATCCGACAAAAATAAACGGATGCGGATTTAGTAATGGCACATCCGATCCGATTAAAATCCGTTTACACCCCTAATAATTCTCTTAGAGGACCTACACGCGACATCATTGATGTTATTAAAGAGTGGAAAAAGAAATATGCAAGGATTTGAGGTGAAGAACATCTTTTGTGAACAAATCTTTGCGACTAACCGCCTTGCCAGGAGCCTCTCAACAGGAGGATTGGATCGAGCATGAGGACCCCCACCCAGGGTGGAGTATATCATTTCCGAAGACATGATTGCAGTCACCACAACCCGTAGAATGAATACGAATCCTCATACATTGACGAGTCAGATTAGGGTCTCCCCTCCTCTTGATAAAAAAAAAGGGGTAAATAGTTTAAACCACTTATTCCTTTAATTAAAAGAAGCATGAAACTTATCTGTGAAATTGCAAAAGAGATCAGTCTCTCTTCTCAACAAAAAATAATAATAAAAAAACATTTTTGGACGTTATAGCCCTAGCAACACTCAATCTCCGTCTTCTATCTAGAGAAGACATAAACAGAGTTATCCCAACCTAACTAAAAATGACTCCATTCATACCTTTTCTGCAGATAATTGTATAAAGTAAAGATACAATCTTGCTAAATGCTAAGCCACCATCAGATGATAACATGAGCAATGGATTGGATGAAACTCTCTTGCTACTCATGTAGTTGTCATGAAAGAAAAGGCCGTGTCTTAACAGTACAACAAACAAAAGTAGCTTCAGCTATACCCAGTCTTTAACAAATCCACATTTGTTAGAAAAGCTAAGCACCACATCTGCAGATTCCACCCGTTAGCTTCAAAGACTTGTCGGCGACAGCCAAGGGTGAAATTGTCTCCGAAAAAAACGGCAACCAAGAAATAGAACGCCTATTCCTGAAAAATTCACATTATTTTAAATCAGATCAGAAGATGAAATCATGAATGCGCAGATAATTGCCAGACACAACATATGACAACAACAACCAAGTAGAATCCCACAAACGTAGGGTCTGATAATGGTTCCGAGATATGACTTCTATGCGGCAATTTTTTAAGAATACACATCTTAACACTAAGTGAATAACACAGGCAAAACAAAACAAAAATACCATACTAATTACCACGAACGGATTACTAAAAAAACTTAACTAAATGTTTCGATAATCAGATTCATTTCTGATTAGTATATTAAAAAGTACCTGCTCCATTTCAGTGACCACATCATCTATGGTATCTCCTTGTTCATCGTTAGCTTGACTCTCACCATCTGTAATCATTTTGTCTTCTTCAGTATCATCCTTCTTAGACCCAACATCATCATCCCCAATGAGCAGATCTTTAGGAATCTGGCCAGACTTCAAGGCCTGCATGTGTTTCAAATGATTAGTGCATGTTCAGAAATGTGTATAGCACACAACCTAAATCTGGGAAAATTAAATATGTGAGTGAGCACCTGTTCAAGCCTAGAAACCTCTTCAAGAGTTTGCGAATTTACAATGGCAGCCTGCAAATGAAGTATTTAGTTATTCATCAAAGTGGTAGAAGTATCATTTTAAAGAAAGACACAACATGATACAACAGATGGAAAAATTACTGAGCATTAACACTATGCTTGGTTCAAAGAATTAGGAAGGAAAGGAAAAGAAAAAGCTCTCTCCTTTTTCTCACCAAAATGAAAGAAATTTAGTTTTTCATCTTCTTAGTTCATTTTTGCCTCTCTTTTTTTTTCTTCTGCTTTTCTTTTCTTGACCTCTCTAACCAAACAAGGAAAATTATTTTCTGCATCATTTTAATTTCTTTTCCCTTTCAAATTTCTTGTACCAAACATAGTGAACGTTGTAGTAAGATTTTCAAAAAATATACTCTCATTAAGAATTTTTTCAAGTAGGGAGAAGGGATATTGATGCAACTTCGAAACAGCCTCGAAAAATGTGCATCCCACAGTAGAAGCATAGTATAGAACATTAACCCTCTGCAACTTACTTGAATTGTCTTGCATGAATTTCAATTAGAATCGGCAAAACAAATGCAGAAGTGTTAAGTGTGCACCTTAATAGCAATAATTTGCTCCGGTGTAGGTGCAGTTGGCTTTGGTGCTTGCTTTTCATTTGGCACCTCAGGGGCTGGAACCTCAGTAGGTACAATTGTCTTCACAGATACCTCCTTAGCCTGTTCTTCAGCACCTTGCGATGCAAATAGATTATTTGCCTCCAATCGCTCCTACATTAGCAGAAGACAATTCCGATTTTTCAAGAAAAAAATTGCCATATTGGATTATTAAAATAAGTGTCAATGTGCTCCCAGATCAGGGTAAACCCCAAAAGAATGTTAGTACCAAATTACACAATTTAAATCCAAATGACAGCACATGCTACATGCTAAAAAAGTGTGAACCCTTCAAATATCAAAGAACACAAACAGATCCCCAACAATAGAAACAATAAAGTGAAAGTAACTAAACCATTTAAAAAACTTAGACCACATGGAAAAAGATATTGAAGTGACTGACCCTTTGTTTCACTTTCCTAAAATCCAGCAACCTCAAAGACTTCAACTTGTGGATGACATACAAGCGATAATTGGGTTTCTTCGTGATGTTATTGTCGATAAGACTAAGGAAGTGCAACTTCGGGAGTGATGCAAGTGGATCAATTTCGGACAAATTAGTGAGCCTGTTGTTAGTAAGGACCAAGGTGTGCAGTTTCGGCAAGAACTCTGCAAGAAACCATACTCAGTAAAGATCTTCAACACTCAAATCCGACTCTAGGAGCAAAATGCTAAAACAACCTCACCTCCGATCTTCGGGTTAATTCGGGTAATTCTATTGTTGTTCATCAACAGTGTCCCAAGCCTGTTAAGGTATGGAAAATTCTCAAGCTTAACAATCTCATTGTCTGACAAGTCAATGGTGTCAAATTGATCCTGCACTCAACCAATAACACCACGCTTAAACTTCCAATATTCATAAAGAATCGTGAAAACTCTTTTAAGAGAAAAAAAAAGAGGGGGAGCTCACCTCAGTGGCACCCAAGTTCTCTATAACCGGAATCTTGTTTCCTACGAGCGAACAAAAGAACATACATAGAAAAACAAGAAATAGGATGTAGATACATGTTACCACACAGAAAAACAGGATCTGTTCATGGATTTTTCATGAAGTTACAGTTAGGGTTTAGGAAAGAAGGAAGAACCTCGGAGATCCAGCTCGCGCTCGCGAATAGCGTTGAAAAAATGAGGGCTTTTCCAGATCAAGTCCGCCGTTAGCCTCACCATTTTTCTCTCTTCTTTGCAGAATTGAAGGGGCGATGATTGAGCAAACAACTTCAACTTACACAGCCACACTATTGACAAAGGGTTTTTCGAAAGCCCGAGGACTGAAGAGTGTAGACGAATTTTTCCCTAAGAAACTCCTTAATAAATTATGCTCCCTCCCTCCCATTTTATAACGTATGTTTCGATTTACGATGTTTGACTGAAGTTATTTTCAAATCATTTTATATGACAAATGGTATAGAGTTAAAAAATAAAAATTACATATCAAAATATTACATCAAAAGATCTACAAAACTAGTAGTGACAACAATATTTTATTTTATCAAATTGCTAACGAAAATAGAGAAAGAAAGTGAATGAAGTTTGACCCTGTAAATAATGAACCTGCATTATAATTTGGGACGGAGGGAGTATTGTGCATTTCTTAAAAAGTAAAAAGTTCCAAGGAAAGAGAGTAGATGGAGAGGTAAAATTGAGATTTATTGCATTTGTTTCTTCTTAATTAATTTTTTTAATTTAAAGATTTTATGAAAATCCTATTAATTTATTGAAAAAAATTAGAATGTCAATTGTCAAATAAATAAATATACTTTATGACCAATTATTGCACATGAAAAATTATAAATGTCTGAGTAGAAAAAACTTATAAAATACAGAGTACAAAATTAAAAAGAAATTATCATCTTTTATTATTTCTTGACTCGTTAAGCTTTACAATTACAAAGATACGAATTAAGAATTTCTAATAACACATTCAAGTAAAAATACAAGAAAAACACAATAACTAAAGTAATTGATAAAAAATTAAAAAAAAAAAGTGGGAAAAGGTGATATACCTCCCCAAATTGAGAAACATAAAGATACCTTTTCAAAATTGAAGAAGGTATAATGCCTTCTTATTAATCTCTCCTTTTGAAAAATGAATTTTTGTTAAAAAGAGATATATATCACAATTATTACTCCTTACCCTCTCATATACCCCTTCACTTGGAGTTGCTCTAACACATTTTTGATAGGATAATCAATAGATTTTGGGCTGGAATTGAGGGAGGTAGAGATAAGTTCGAGTCAAGCCATAGTTAGAGGTGATCATGGTACGATATTTAGCTTGTACTGATATCATATAAAAGTATTTTAATTCGATATAAAATATTACATCGTATCAGTCTCGATCTCGAAATATCGTTACGCTATAGTTTGATAAATAGATTACACTTTAAAAAGTAAAAAATCCTTTATATCGATGTTCGACGCATTAGATATGCTTACTCAACTTCAACGCTGAGCGTGTAGTATGTTTTATTTACTACACGCAGGTAAACAAAAAGAATGAATTGACATATTCCTGGCGGCAGATGGGGCGAGACGGTCGTGATGGATTTGTGGATTTAGATTATTATCTCAAAGATATAAAATAATTAATTATGATTGTCATGAGACATGTTTTGAATTCACTTCCGCATTGTTAAACACTCTGTATTTCAATAGTTTATGTATTGAATATTATTTATGATAAATAAGGATATTTGAAATGTTTTAAATTTTACGATTACCAAGTTTATACTTTAGTCCGAAACGGGTTGCACACCTGGACGGATTAGGGTGTTACAGGTTTCATTTCGTGTATCACACGAATAGACTTCACACTTTTTACGGTTGAGACGTTTTTTCGTGTATATTCGAGATGAACTCGGTCGGCTTAGAAATCAGCTTTTCTTTCACCTCTATAAGGTTGCCATCATCGGTCTTCAATTGAAGAATTCTTCATCACAAGTTGTCAACGGAAACGACGTTCAGTCAGCCAATTCATACTAAGGATAATGTCCATTTCCTTGTATGGTATTTTGACGAGGTTTTGCAAAGAATTATCGCTTAACGAACTATTTTGATTCACGTGATGTAATCACATATTGTGTCCTAATCGGTTAGACAATAGCATGGGATACTTCAAATAATAGAGTTTATTTATTCTAAACGTTTGCGTTGGAATCAATGACCGGATCGTGTTGAGTCCACATGAGGATCTTCGACATCGGCTTCACAAATGTTATTCAACATTAGTTGTGTCACTTCCATGCAACTTTACAATGCAGATCAGTTTCGTCATTCGCGATGCGATGTGCACATTGATAACGTATCAGAGGGTCAACTATTTTTCGTTCATTCTTTCATCTCTTGCCGAGTACGAAAGTTTGACTCGAGTCTTCGCTCGATGCGAATTCAGTACTAACAATTGTTATTTAATGAGAATTTAACACAATCAATATTATTAAATAAATTCTCATTACCTTTCCTGGAACAGAGGGATGCGATAGTCATGGATGTGATTGGCATTTTTTTATTCACATTTTGATCCGAAGATAGGTTTTAAAACTATTTTCTCCGATACCAAATTGTAACACACTAATCCTTCTAGGTCTGCAGTCCCTTTCGGACTAAAGTATAAACTTGGTATTCGTAAACATTCAAAATATTTCAGACATTTTAAAACTTTATTCCATAATAAATTTTTCTAAATAATAATAACGGAGTATTTCAAATTAAAGTTGCGGAAGCGTAATAAGTCACAATTACAAACATAACAAATTTATGTCTTTTAAAACAGTAATTAAAATTTACACATCCTTCCCGACCATCTCACCCCATTTGCCACCAGGAATTCATCACTTCATTCTTTCTTTACCTGTGTGTAGTAAATAAAACATACTACACGCTCACTGGTAAAGCTGAGTAAACATATCTAATGCGTCGAACATCCATATAAACTGAATCTCAATTCATAATCAAATCATTTGATATCATGCACATAATATACAATTCAAGCATTCATCTTTCGTGATATTCACAATATTTTAATTCAAGACATTTCATGATATAAACAATATTCAATAGTTCAAAAATGCTATTAAATTATTCTTAATCTAAGGCTAAGTCAAGCTCTTCAAATATTCCTAGTCTAAGGAAATATTTCTAACCAGGCTCTTAAACTAAAAATAGTTTAAGGAAGAACACAAGAATCGATGATCCACCTTATGAGTCTTGTGGATCACGTACCAACCGGACAGTGAACTGTCAGGCGGGTGATATCCGATTTGGATCCCGTACGTACGTTTTAACCCCCAATTTCTGAATTGGTCACATAGGTACATCTTAGAGTTATTCTAGACATCCTTAATAGTCATCATCAATTTCCAAATGGGTATATCTTAGAGTTCTTCTAGATATCCTTAACAATACACATCGTTTTCATAATCATCAATATGACCAGACTGCCTGCACCCCGTATAAAATTTTAGGGTATATTTCGGGACATTACAGTTCCACCCGTTCGGGTGAGATTCTCGCCAGTTAGAGCGTGACCTTCATTTTGAAGGGGAAGATTATGATTCCAAATTGTGTATGTGTCTATTTTGTTACTCAAATAACCTTAGCCTAGAATACGTTATGAACGAGTGCTAGAGATGAACTTTAGTACAGACGTAAATGTTGAGTTGATAAATGATGCAACCAAATAGTTAAGGTAAGTGTCATGATGTTGTTGATATTACCTGATATTGTTATGTGATATTATTAGGTGCATGGAATCTTATGAGTGATTATGTGTTTTGAATTAATCTTATGTGTGACTTTTACTGTCAGAACCTCTCACTCAATGTGAAAGCTGAGCGTGTAATTTATTTTACGTCATACATGTAGGTAAAGGAATTGATGAATAAGGAGCCAAGCCTCGAGGGCTGCGAGGGTGATGGGATGTACGAATGCATGGCTGAGGATTTGATTTAGGTATTATTTCTATTTGAATTTAATATGTTTTACTAATAGTTAATACTTTTTTTAAAATTTTCTTAAAGTGATCTTTGGATGATCAGTCTTTTGGACTGGTCCTAGTCTTTAGAACGGTTTTTTACCAATCTCAGATCGGCCCAAGTCCTTTACATGTCCTTCACTAGTTTCGGACTAGTCTTAGTTTCCCTTACAAACTACGGACCGTTTGAGACTATCGGTCTTAGACCGGACTAGTCTCAAGGGCTAGTTCGGTCTCAATCTTTCACGTCTTGATCCTAGTCGATCCCAGTCGCTCTTTGTGGTCCCAATCCTTTTGCCCTTGTCTAGATCAAGTATTTGAATTTTTGAGATAAATAAAGAAAAGTGGACTTTTGAGAGCATTTGTATTTCCCACGAATCTGCCCTTCAACAACACATAATGCCCATCAAGTCCCTCACCAACCCCCACCTCCCTCCATGGCTCCCTCACCACATTTATATTGCTCCTGCACCCATTCCACATTTCATATTTCAGGACACACGTTACGTAACCAACCACCTATACTAATATATACTCTCTACCTCCCTCCCAATATCTATTTCTCTCTCTCTCTCTCTAAACCTACAGCTGCATTACATTATTATTAAAATGGGCGCCCCGACCGAGCAAGCCGCCGGCGACTTCGTTTTCCGGTCAAAGCTCCCGGACATCCACATCCCCAACCACCTCCCTCTCCACTCCTACTGCTTCCAGAACATTTCCCAACTGCGGGACCGCCCCTGCCTAATCAACGGCTCCGACGACCGGATTTACACTTACGCGGAAGTGGAACTCACGTGCCGGAGAGTCGCGTCCGGGCTCCACAAGCAGGGGATCAACCGGGGCGACACCGTCATGATCCTCCTCCCCAACTCGCCGGAGTACATCTTCACGTTCCTCGGCGCGTCTTACGGCGGCGCGATCGCCACAATGGCCAACCCCATGTTCACGCCGGCGGAGGTGGTCAAGCAGGTCAAAGCGTCCAACGCAAGGCTCATCGTTACCCAAGCCTCCAACGTCAACAAGGTAACAAACGTTTGTTATTTACAAGTGTTTGGAAATCAATTTAAAAATTACATATAAAAAATGGCGAATTTACTAATCCACCAAACCAGTGATAGTATGACCATACAATTTTATAAAATGAATAATAAAAATAAATAAAAAAGTAAATAAAAATTAACCATGTAAATAGTAAAAAGATATCTAAATTTGGGATGGAGAGAGTAATTTTTGTTTCAACATTTTGTTGAATTTCATATTTTCTTAGTTTGTATTCGTCAAGTTTGATTTTTTGGAGGCAACTGGACAAATTAAACCGTTTATACTCTCACTTTGTATCATTTTGTATTACATATTAATAGAATGATATATAATTTAGAAAGTTTTTTCAACAATATAAATTTAATAAAATCATTTCTATACTTATATTAATTACAACTTTTATTTAATTTGGGTTTAAAATTTATCTAGTTGATTTGAAAAAATCAAACTGGAATAGTAGATATAGAAGCAACAAATAGTATATTCGAATTCTATTTTTTAGAATTAGCTAGTCTTATCAATCTACAATTTCATTTTCTGTATGGTGGAAAAAATGCCCGAGTGATTATCTGGCTTGATTATAAATGCACAATTAGTTACTATCTCCGTCCCAGAGTATTTGTCCACTTTCATTTTTACACATCATCCAATACACTTCTTTAATCCATTTTATCTTGTAATTTATATATTAAAAAATTATAGAAATTATATATTAATAATCTATATGTTAAGACAAATCAAACAAGATCATACATGACTATATTTAGGCTTACACATTGAGAGAATTTGATGAGTCAAAGTGCTTAGATGAACAGTTCCAAAAGTCAAAACTGGACGAATACTCCAGGACGGAGGAAGTAACATATACGAGTATTGGGTACTGTATATTATCAATAAATTAAAGATAAAAAAATCCTTTCTTTCTTCAAAATCATCCGCAAAAGAAGGTCATGCTTATTTTAAGGATTGTAGTGCATTCATATCATTAAAAATTGGGATTTTTTGCAAAAAAGAAAATTTTTACATGCGGGCTTATTAAAAGTATATATAAAAATTTATATTTTACATGTGAATTTTAGAACCACAACAAATAATTCCAACGAGAATCCAACAAAAAATAATCTTCCATAGGATAACTTTTTAGCTAGAGCGTCAAATCACAAGTTTGTCCTGGTAAAGTTTAGTCAAGCATCTAAAGGAGGGAGGTGTAAATTCTAATCTTGAATATCGCACTTAATTATATTTAAATAAATTAAATTGAAAAAAATATTTCAATAAAAGCATACATATATAGTGCTAAAAAAATCATATACGAAGTAGATCAGGCCTTCAAATAATTTTAGAAAAAAGGGGTACTAAAAAAGAAATTGGGGTGGGTCACTTCAAATATGTGGATAAAATATGATGAACAACCATTGTTATTAATTAGGGTGGGTCACTTCACATGAACAAATTTATAATCGTTTCCAACTGTTCATATTCAATCAGTCCGTATCAAATTTTCCCGAAAAAGAAAGAGCCCCAATATTGAGGTCCCTCGGAACGGGCCGATTTAACCTGACAAAAAATGATTTGACCTGTTTTTGACTCGAAAACCGACCTGAAAACATTGGGTTTTGAACAAAGGTTTTGATGACCGAACCCGAAGTTGATCGAACCCGAAATGACCTACTAAAAATGGGTCAAACCCGACTGAACCCGAACCCGACCTGACCGACCCGCTAAAGTAAGAGTTTTTCAAAATCATATACTTTACTAATTACTACTCATTTTTTATGTATAAATTTATATTTTCAAACAAAATTTTAATGATATTACATAATTATCTTACTTTTTACTAAAACTTAAGCATTTTTTAAATTTCTTATATTGATTTATATATCTAAAAGTTACTTCAAAATTTAAAATAAAAAAATCTAATAGATTTAATACATATTTTTTGATATTTTAAATTTATTTAATACAAAATGCAAGTGTTAATATGAATTTAAAAATTTAAAAAACCAAAGACATAACTCGTTGGGTCGACCCGAACCCGATGACATTGGGTCATGAACATATAGTTCTCGACCCGAACTCGAATTGATCCGAACCCGAAATAAACCGAACCTGAAGTGACTGAACCCGAACTCGACCTGACCGACCGATTTGCCAGCTCTACATTTAACTAATTCCCTGTTTTGGATCATGATATCTTTTGTTCAAAATTATTTTTATTAGGGGGTGGATGAAGCAAGTGACTATATTATTAAAAGAAATTATCAAAATAAAGGTGAAAGACAACTATTACGAGTTTAAAAAAATAGTTTGTGCACAATTACGAGTTACATATTTCTAGTAAATTTAAAAAATGGTCTTTTGAATAAGGTATTTTTTGAATTAAGTCTCAATAACTCCTTCTATTTACTTAGTCTTTTATAATTGAGATTTACTCTTTAATTGATCATTCGTAAATGATGTTATTCAAACGATTATTAATTAAAGACTATTTTGGTATTTCTATCTCTAAATTTAATGCATATTCTCAAAATAGTCATTTCTATACAATTAAATGTAAAATTAACACAATACATTGACTATGCATGATCCGTGAATTAAAAACCTATAAAAAACTTTTAAAATTTGAATCAAATACAAATCTTTAATTAGAAATAACATTTTGAGAAAGAACTTCATTAGATTAGATCATTTAAAGAATTTACTCTGAATTTAACTGATAAAAATACGAAAATAACATTCAATTAATCATCATTTGAATAATATTATTTAAGAATTATCTAAGAAATAAATATCAATTATAGATTACCATGTATATAATTTAGACATATTGAGGACTGATTTAATAAAACACATAATTAAAGATGACCATTTTAGAGACATATTGAGGACTGATATAATTTAGACATATTGAGGACTGATTTAATAAAACACCTACTTAATTGGTAAATTTTTGGGATTCATCTTCTATAAACGTTTAATAAAAATTACTCCGTATATCTTTCTACTAACAAAAATGCAATTTGTCTTTAATTGACTAATTAGTAATTACAGCTGAGGAATATTATTGAAAATAATGAAGTAATTAAGGTGGTGTGCACAGAGTAAATTACTAATTACTACTCCGTAATTAGTAATTACAGCTGAGACATATACGGAGTAATTGGAACGTATTATTACAGGTGAAAGAATATGCAGGGGAGAGAGAAATAAGGGTGGTGTGCACAGATGCGGCGGTGGACGGGTGCCTCCACTTCTCGGAGCTGGCGGGGGCGGACGAAGGCGAGGCGCCGGCGGCGGAAGTTGATCCGGAGGACGTGGTGGCGCTCCCGTACTCCTCCGGGACGACGGGGCTCCCGAAGGGGGTGATGCTGACGCACAAGGGACTGGTGACCAGCGTGGCGCAACACGTGGAGGGGGAAAACCCCCACTTCTACCTCCACGGGGAGGACGCCCTCCTCTGCGTTTTACCCTTCTTCCACATTTACTCCATGTCCATATTTCTCTGCGGGTTGCGGGTCGGGGCCCAGATCCTGATCATGCAGCGGTTTGAGATTGCCCCGTTTTTTGAGCTCATACAGAAGTACAAAGTTACCGTAACGCCCTTGGTCCCGCCCATCGTTTTGGCCATTGCTAAGAGCCCTTTGGTGGACGATTATGACCTTTCATCCGTTCGGGTTGTCATGTCCGGGGCCGCCCCGCTGGGCAAGGAGCTCCAGGATACCCTTAGAGAAAAATTCTCTAACGCTAGATTTGGTCAGGTAAGACTCTTTAGAGCTTCATCTCTTTAATTTGTTGTTATTATTTATTATATATTCTTATTGAAATAAGATTAGATCAAATCAGAATGAAAAACAGCTTTAAATATATTTAGAATCAATTTAGATCAAAACTTTAATCTAATGATACCAAAATCAATTACTCCCTCCGTCCCGGAGTATTCGTCCAGTTTTTTGGAACTATTTATCTAAGCACTTTGACTCATCAAATTCTATCAATGTGTAAGTCTAAATATAGTCATGTGTGATCTTGTTTGATTTGTCTTAACATATAGCTTATTAATATATAATTTCTATAATTTTTTAATATACAAATTACAAGATAAAATAGATTAAAGAAGTGTATTGGATGGTGTGTAAAAATGAAAGTGGACAAATACTCTGGAACGGAGGTAATAGATAATAAGTTCAAGAGAACAAACTTTTGATCGTTCTTTAGCTGCTTTGATTTTCACGCACTTTTTTTTAATAAAAAAATACTCCTTCTCATATACTACCTTAGGGGCTGTTTGACAACTTCTGAATCGGTAAGTGCTGAACCAGTAAGAGGTCTGAATCATTAAGTGCTGAACCAGTAAGAGGTCTGAACCATTAAGAGCTAGTATATTGTTTAACTATTCAGAGGCAAATGTCTGATCAATTCAGATAAGAGGTCTTAACCATTCAGACTCTGTATAATACTTAACCATTCAGAGGCAAATCTCTTAACCATTCAGACATCTGAACCATTAAGAGGCTGAAACAAACAGTCCGAACCATTAAGTGCTGAACCATTCAGACATCTGAACCATTAAGAGGCTGAAACAAACAGCCCCTTAGTCTATAAGTTTTTTCTCCCGTTTAATTTTTTTAATCAAGCATTTTAAATTTTAACATCAATAGAATTAATTTTGAAATATAGTTTTGAAATATAGTTTTGACATCGTTAAAATTTATTTTTTCCCACATATTTGAATAGAATTTAAAAAATTACTTTTTAAAAATATAAATATAAAGTCTATCAAAATAAGAGATGACAACAGACAACAACAACATGATCAAATGATAAATGAAAATGCACAAGTAGTTACTAATTAAAATCATCGAGAAGACAATACTATAATCTATTTTGAACCGGATGGACCGATGGAGTATTTAAAGGTGTTTACCTTTATTGTTATCTTTCGAGATATTGATAAAAAATGGATAAATTGAACATAGTCGAATCAATATGATAAAAACTCTGAATATGTCTACAATGATTTGGGATGGGGCAAGAACTGACTCGATTGGAATTCGGAGTGGCGTCTCAGGTTTTTTTTCTTTTTACATAAATATAATGGGAAATATCAAATGACAAAAGAAGTCATTGTAATTTTAGATATATTAAGGGTTCGTTTGGTATGTGGAATTGATAGAATTAGAATTGAAATTCTATGGGCCCCGTTGGGTATATGGAATTCAAACTATGGAATTGGAATTGAGGACTTCAATTCCAATTCTGATGTTTGGTAGCACAAAAATTATGTGGATTTAGAATTGATAGTGCAAAAAATGAATTGGAATTGGCAGAATTCAATTCTATGGAATTGAATCCCATGGAATTTCAATTCCAATTCAATTCCAATTCCGTCAATTCCGTATACCAAACGGACCCTGAGATTCAATTCCATAGAATTGAATTCACCAATTCCAATTCATTTTTTACGCTATCAATTCCAAATCTACATAATTTTTATGCTACCAAACACCAGAATTGGAATTAAAATCCTCAATTTCAATTCTATAATTTGAATTCCGTGTATAAAACGGAGCCTAACAATACATTACAATATGATCACCATAGTTGGAGATATCAAATGACGTGTGAATGGGTAAAATAGTCTCCATGGTCCATAGGGACATAATAAGTCGTTAGATTAGAATATTAGATATTGTGCGGTGCCTTTTTAAAGAAAGCACTTATCATCGCTATCCATACATATAAATATAAACAAAACGCCTTATAATGTAACTTCACACTAGGTATATTAGATATAGACAATAATTGTTAATGCAATAATTGTCACATATTGACAATAATTGTCACATATAGACAATAATTGTTAATGTAATGTATTAACGATACGGAGTATTTGTTTAAAAATGTTTATATTGTTTATGTAACGTATAAACAACATTTGTGGGGGTTTGGTCGGTGGTGAGTGCCGGATACTATGTATGGTAAGAAGGGATGGGTGGAAATGTGCAGGGACATTTTAGTCTATTACTTCCTTAGTCAATGTTTCTTAAAAATGAAAAAAAAAGTTAAAATAGAAACATCATTTTCGAACGGAGAGAGTAATATTTAATGCAATAATAATTATCTGTGTGTGCCTATGATTGTGCCCTTGGAGTACAAATTTGGTGAACTCGGGTCTTTTTCATACATATATGTTGGGTTTGGTTGGTGCGGTAGGTAGGTGCTGATCACAACTTTGAATTCAACTTCCTAATTAGGTTTGATATTGTCTTTGTCTTCAACCGAACTCACTTATCATATTGGGTTGGTGGGTTGAATGGCTCAAAATTATCTAGGATTATTCAACTTTCACCGTACCGCGTACTAGCTACCTTTTGTATTGTTTCAATATACTTTCTCTCTTTCAAAAATATTGTCACATTTTGAATTTTTTGATCAAATCATGACATTCTTTGACCTCAAATTAAATATAGTTTAAAATAATTAATCATGACATTCTTTGATATTTTAAAAATAAACCTAATTTTATTATATTTACATTATAACTAAATATAATTTTTTCATAATTTAAGTAGTCCTTCAAGTATTCATCAACCTCCAAACGCAGTCCTTTTTACGATACACGTTAAAAGCTAAACGTAGTACTAGCTCCATATATATATAACTTTTGACCTGTAATGGGTGCCAGATGCAACTAGCTATATATATAAAACTTCCGTCTCAGTGCCAGATGCAACTTTCGACCTGCAATGGGTGCCCGATGCTGGCCCCGTCCTCCGAGCAGTGTAGTGGGTCTTTTCCTCTCATTGTAAATGTTGGGAATAACTTTACCTTCAAAGGGGTTCAATTTGTATGGTAATGAACACAAAACTTTAATTTGATTGGAGTTGTGGGAACCCATTAATTTCTTATACTTAAAAAACAATCAATGCACTTTTTTAATCTAGTAGCACAAGAGTCAATGCACTCCCTCAAATTTTAATATATGACTTTGATCTAATTAATTTGAGAGAGGCATATGAGAGAACCAGCGCCGCGACTAATAAGTGACTTTTGGTATGTGTTTTAATAGTAGTGGTCTCAAGTATTGAAAAAGAAAATAATGTGTATGGTAGGGATATGGAATGACAGAAGGTGGGTCGGTGCTGGCAATGGGCTTAGCCTTTGCAAAAGAGCCTTTTGAGATCAAATCTGGTTCGGTTGGGACCGTTGTTAGGAATGCGGAGTTGAAGATTGTGGATCCTGAAACCGGGTCCTCTTTGCCCCGGAACCAACCCGGCGAGATTTGCATTAGGGGTCACCAAATCATGAAAGGTACGTACTTATCTTCGCATACAATAAAAAGCTTGCTTGGAGAACTTTAATTCTGGCATTACTCTTTCCACGGACATTTATAAATACTCTCTGTCCCTCCCTCCCTAAAAAAATTGTCACAATTTGACTTTTTTGGTCAAACTTGTACGTTTAATCGCAAATTATGGAAAAAATATATTTAGTATTAATGTGAATTTAGTAAAATTGAGTTAATTTTAAAATATAGTTTTGAAATATCAATTTTTTTACAAAATTTAATTATTTTAAACTATATTTAATTCGTGGTTAAAAAATTCTACAATTTGACCAAAAATGTCAAACTGTGGTAATATTTGTGGGACGGGGGAGTAATCTTTCTTCTATGTTTGACTTTTGTTGTCTTTGTTGTCCTTATTTTAAAAAAAAAAGGATGACACCCCAACCTCGACGGTCCGTCAGCACCGGGCGGACAGTTAGCTGAGACGAGGATGATTTTTGTTGTCGATATTTTAAAACATTAAAGACAAATTAACAAAAAAATATATTGAATTGTGATATAAATTTAATATCAATAGATTTATTTCGAAATACCATTTCTTATATTCTATATTTATAAATAAATAGGGATATTAATGAATATTGTATTGTAAAAAGTCAAATGAGAAGAAAAAGATATAGGAGGGTAGGAGTATAAAACAATCTCCGAATACCGGTAAAATGGTAGTATGTCAACACTTAAGTCAAATTTGGGATACGCCTAACATGTCATTTGAGGGAAAGTGGTAGCAATTTGCATGCTTCAATAATGAAAATGCCTAAGAAAAGTGGGTGGAGAAGTAAATTGGGCGTATGACCAGTTTGGTTGGAAATGAAATGAGGGAGGAAGAGAGAGAGAGAAGAAAACATATTGGTCCCACTTACTTATGACCTCTTTTCATATGGGTGAACTACAGTATAAAGAAAGAAATGAGAGAAAAAGTCTTGGCTCTCAACATTGGGGATTACATTATTTTGAAACATTCCCACGTTCTATTAACCTTTTTTCATAAGATCTTAACTTTATTTTTTTTTGAAGAAAGACTTGTATCCTAAGATATCAACCTTCCGAAAAAACACTTCTACCCCAACCTAAAATATCTAAAATGCATCTCATTTCTCCTTTATTGCGGATAGAAGTTATTCTGAATGTATTTTAGATATTTTAAGTGGTGTTAAAGTTTCTTGTGGGAAACAGATCATTTCATATAGAATGAGGTTAATTACTACGTGTTTCTTGTGGGAAAAGATATTAACCTTCCAAAAAAAACACTTTTACCCCGACCTAAAGTATCTAAAAATGCATCTCATTTCTCCTTTATTGCGGATAGAAGTTATTCTGAGGGTATTTTATACATTTTAAGTGGGGTTAAAGTGTCTTGTCGAAAAAGATCATTTCGTATAGAAGGAGGTTAATTACTACGTGTTTGTGTATGTACATGGGGATGCAGGATATTTGAATGACGAAGAGGCGACAAAAATAACAATCGACAAGGAAGGATGGCTACACACGGGGGATGTAGGGTACATAGACGAGGACGACGAGCTATTCATCGTGGACCGACTCAAGGAGCTCATCAAATACAAAGGCTTTCAAGTCGCCCCCGCCGAACTTGAAGCCTTACTCCTTACCCACCCCCTCATTTCTGATGCTGCTGTCATCCCGTACGTAACCTACCCGCCCTCCCCCCTCTTTTCTTACTGGCTCATATTACTATTTCTCTTCTCCGCGTCATTTTTAACCGCACAGTTTCACTTTTATTAAAATAATAATGTTACTACGTAACTAATTGCTGCAGCATGAAAGATGAAGATGCTGGAGAAGTTCCAGTTGCTTTTGTTGTTAAGTTGAATGGGTGTAACATCACCGAGGATGATGTTAAAGACTTTGTCTCTAAGCAGGTATATATATATATATTATATATGCTAGCTTAGGATTTGTTTAAAAGAGCTACAGAAGATTATTTTACTTGGGGAAATTTATTTATTTTTGTTGTTTGCCTGATTTTTTAAATATAATTTCCTCGTCTTTTGTGTTTTTTTTGTTCTCTCTCTGCAGGTGATATTTTACAAGAGAATAAGGAATGTATTTTTTGTGGAGGCAGTTCCCAAATCTCCATCAGGAAAGATACTAAGAAAGAACCTAAGAGCAAGACTTGAAGCCCAATGAATGACCCAATAAATTACTTCTTCCATACATCTGTGGATCAAAACCTGTTGACTTTTTGTCTTCAGATCATCACATTCTCTTACATATACTCAATTTCCGATGTTGTTGATAACATTAGTTATAAAAGATCTGTACGGAGTATACTCCATCTGTCCGGATTTAGGTTTCCACTTTCTTTGTTTTTTTCTTTTTTGGGAATTACGGAGTAGCTGTCTTCTTTCATGTACTCTTCTTCCGTCTCAAAATAAGGTCTCTCGTTTGGTTTGACATGAAATTTAAGTAAAGTAAGATTGTATGATTGAAAGTTTTTCGAGCTCTAGTAATACGAGGATAAGATAAATTGATACACTTGTGACTTGTCCCAAAATAATTTTTTCATACGGAATCTTTAGTTTCGTTTCACCAAATTTAAAAAAACATTGTTAAAGTTTACTTCAAATAGAAATATTATAAATCAAATATTGCATTTTTAAAGAATATGAGAGAAGTGTGAAGTTTGAAACTAAGTGAACTTTAATTTCCTTATTAATGTTTGGCTCCAGGAGTTTGAGAGGGAAAAGAAAAGAAAATGAGTTGGAAATCGATTTTTCATGTTTGGTTAGAGAGGAAAAAAAGAAAAGAAAAGTGGAAGGAAAAGAAAATAAGAAAAAGGCTAAGCAGAAGGAAAACTAAATTTCTTTTCATTTTCTTCCAAATCCCTTTGAAATGGCTTAATATGGAATAATGCAGTACCTCCATCCCTAACTTAAAGTCTCATTTGGGATGAAGCTTTAAAATGGTAAAGTGTCAGTAATGTAGTAACTTTGTCTCTATCAAATCTAAATAGTAAAGTTCAAATGTATCATTTTGAAGACATACCGCATTTGCGGCAACACCAGCAGCGTCTCTAGGCTGAAGACGATTGAACTAAAACGATCCCACTTTGCGCTCTCATAAGGGCCTGTACAGTAGCTCCCCACTTGCCTGGTGAAATAACACATGTTGACAAACAAGAACAATAAATATTTGGCTGACTATTAACAAACATAACAGAGGGAACTTACAGTATATTTATATACTTGAGTGTCGCGCATTATCTGATATATCAAGGAAACAAGAGCCTGTACAAAACAGAGACGCCTACTGGGTGAAACATGTTTCAACCGACAGACAAAAAGAACAAAGATTAATGTTCAACAAGATTAAGATTTCTCGTTCAGTTTGGTAGTTATTGTAAAGGATGGAGAATGACAAATGCGAGGCACAAGAAAAATCCTATCCTATGAATAAACAAAATGAAGATTGTGGGTAGAGACAATTCGAACTACGATGGCTGTGATAGTGGTGAAACGTGTGGTTAACATTGGGTTCCAATCAATCTTCGTTCCGAAGATACAATCATTTCAGCTCTTGCATAATAATTAAAAACATACTAAGGCTACATGATTATTCCTGCAAAACTGTTCTAAATTCCTCATCGACTATGAAAATTACAGGAGAATGCATAAAGATACACGGTGAGGATTATGCTAATCATACAACAAGGCAACCAGTGTGGGCTTTCTTCTTCTCTGTTTGGTTTCCCTTCCAGCAGCTGCGAATGAATGCGGTGTTTCTGCCCGATGGCTAGTTTATCCAGCAGTAACAAAACAAATGTGTTGGGCTCCACTCGCAACAATCAATCCCTTCAGTTCATTCGGCAGTCACATACTGGTTCTAAGTGTGCAAACAGGCCAAAGAAAGAATAGAGAATAAAAAATATAAAACCCCAATGCCCTTTGGAATCCAGTAGAGACTGTCTGGCAGAGCTCCAATTGAAGAACGTCACAGAGTCACACATGTTCATCCGTTTCACGAGTACATATTTTCTCAAGCAGCACAGGCCAGTCTTCACCCAGTTGCTGAGGGTTCAGCTCCATTGCTACCTTAAAATCTTGCAATGATATGAAACTCTGAGGCGGTAGAGGTTCTTCTTGCAAAACTTCTGAAGGCCTGCCAGTGCTTAACTGCAAATGATATCCGGGTCTGACACCATTAACCGGTTTCGTATATGCTTGGTGTTGCTGCTTCACAGTGTTTGTATTCACTGCCCCATTCTGCCCTGACCGCCTTGCTCCAACAAGTTGAACACAAGACCCGATCAAACCTTTTAGGTGAGAATCGAGACCGATGTTCAACAGATTAGCACAATCCACGGACACACCCCCTTCAAGCCCATGTTCCATGGCAATCTGATTCATGCGTTCCCTGAGTGTCAAACTGTCTAACAAAGCACCAACAGAAGTAGAATCGGTGCGAACAGACTTGCTTGCGGTTGCCAAATGTAATGATGCTCTACGGGCCCCACCAACACCGACCGGACAATGTGAGACCCCAAGTGGAGCTTGAAGTGAACTCCTTTGTTCATGTGGTCTCTTTGTTACTAAAGGATTTCTAGGGGCTTGCCCCAACACTGCCGCATCATGCTCTGTTCGCTGCATGATTCCTTGATGATGATGCATTGCCACAGGTAAATCCCCATTTTCAATAATAGTATTGGAACAAGGAGGTGATGGAAGAGTACTCCCATTTGACAATCGGGGTTGATATGAAGCAACATGTGGCCCATTTTGCTCAATGGCATCATCACTTGAAGGATCTTTGTTCTTGGCAATTGCTTGTGCCAAAACTTCATTCTCGCTTCTTGAAGGTGGAACCCTTGCACAACAAGCGTTTTTCAAAACAGAACGTATGAACTGATTATGCAGTGGAATGTTCTCTCTCCCAAGAACCCTAAAACAAAGTTTATTGAACTCGGTTTTGCTCATTTTCAAGCTCAACAAATTACTCAAGTAATGAAAGTACTGCTTGGAACCATCAGGTCCCAGTTTCCTCACTATCTGAGCCTTCAATTCGACGAGATTGATCCGTGTGTGCTGATGTGGAGGTTGCATTTCTCTTCAGCACATAAAGTCCATATACAAAAGCAAAATAACAACTCAAGTACAACACCAACTACCCACTGCTCAGAAACACCAAAGTTCCACTACTAAATTAGGGTTTTGCTCAATTTCCAAATACTCATCCTCCAAACAATATCCAACCGCTCTAACAGCAACGCAAACAACGCAATACCCGATCCCATCTCTGAAACCCCAATTTTCATAGGGACTGAGAGAAAATGTTAACTCCCCGAGATTTAAATTCTCCCAGAACCAATTCTCCCCTCAACATATCCCAAATTTCAAATTCTAAGCCCGAATTCCCAAACTGCAACTACAACTAACCGGCTGTTCCCAACAGGAATTCACTGCTCCAACTCCAAGTAAAACCCCAGATTTATTCCCAATTCAACAGTTCAACTTCCCGAAAATCCCACAGAAATCACTGAATAAACTAAAATTCAACCTTTTTCACAGAAATTAAAGCTTGAAGCTACAAACCTCAAGTTCAAAGCTGTTCCAACAGAAAATTGAGGCTCAAAACCACGGAGATTGTAGCTCAAAATTGATACTTTGATCTATACGGAGAGAACAGATAAGCTAGGCAGACCTTATTGGAGCTTTCCCAAGCTGAATCCGAATTTCAGATTCGGAAAAGGAGAAATTATTCAAAGAAATCTCTATATTCAATGCTCGTCGTTCTTTCTTGCTACTCGCCCTTTAGAACCGAAAATGAGCTTCTTCCACCATTGCTGCTTTATCTTTCGAGAAATTGTTTCGCATTTAAATCTCTGTAAAAATCGCAAACCTTTTTTAAGGGACTCCGCAGTTCATCTCTCCGATCGTTCTCTGCCCGTTGATGCTCGCTCGCTCTATCTCTCTCTCCTCCCCCTCCCTCCCGGATTCAGACTTTTTTCGTTCTTGTATCTTTATTTTTCTACTTTAATACTCCGTATTAATCACAATTTAATCACTCTATTTCTACGCGAGTAATGGATCGTCCCATCCACGCAATGAGCGGGAGTCTGGCTGAAAATCAAAGATGATTCGCGTGTACTTAATAGCGCGTGGTTAAGGGTACTTCTTTTTGTGAATTTTGGTGTGTGTGTCTATATATATATATATATATATATATATATATATATATATATATATATATATATATATATATATATATATATATATATATATATATATATATATATATATATATATATATATATATATATATATATATATATATATATATATATATATATATATTAACCCGAAAACACCACCAAAATCAGTGGGGTAAGGTCCAGGCAGCCCTTACCGAATTTATTGATAAAATCATAGAGTTACACGTTCGGGGAGGACTAGACCGAAGCACCGAAGGTTGAAACCAAAACTTACACAACACACAAAATACAATACATCGAATCCAAGAAAATAAAAGATAGGCAAAACTTACACAACATCATGTGAGTGTTGTTGCAATTGATTTCCCCCCAAGCGCAAATATCTGAATTCCCGAATTAACCAGGCTCTCATCTCTGATCATCCATCCCTTGTTACGGTATTTCCAATTCCACAAATTCATGTTGCTCTTAATGTTATAGATTATATTGTTGGTATTCAGATCTTCGTTACCGAATGAAATTGCAGAATATTGCTTCCAAATACACCAAGCAATAACTCCTGGCATCACCAATTTCATGTTCCCACGAAGTGTATGGGTTTCTGATCTGAGGTGCCATTCTAAAATGTGTTGCTTGATGGTTGTAGCAGGTCTGATTCTAGGTCCCTCTATTATATCTGCTATTTCATCCCAAATATATCTGATCTTACCACATTGAAGAATGCAGTGGTCTA